CCCACCAACCGCAGGAAAAAGGAAAGACCAAGAAGATCGTGGAGACAAAAAGTAAATAGTGCAATGGAAGATAGGGGTCTACAAGTAGATGACTGGAACGATCGCAAGCGTTGGAAGCTAGGTTGCGACAGCCTTAATAAACTCGTTATAAAAAAAATCTCAACGAGGTGTTTGACACGAGATATGTGAAATTAACTCAGAAATGCAGCACGTAAGGTCGGTCTGAATACTAATGACCAAAAATTACAAAAATGATGATAACTTTGGTTTCAAGTCAGACTTTGAAGACGTTGAAATTGAAGTTGTTAACAGCTACAAATATGGGGAGACCGGGGCTAGTAGAAATGTATGCATTTACGTGTTTCATTTAAAAGCAACTAATTAAGATTAATGAATACATTTATATCTTAGTCGCAATTTGGCATCATCAAAATGTTTTAGTCAATATTAAGATTTTGAAGAAAATTGTTTTCTTGAGCGCGTTATATTTGGCAGCAACTTATCCTGCTTCGGGGCAAAATGTCGTAGGGTCTGGCACGTTGCTGCAAACCGTTTTTTAATTTATTGGACTAATTTTAAACTATTTTTTATTTTAATAGGAGAACCTTTGTATTAAGTGGAGAAAAAAAACACTGTCACGCCATTTTGTTTTAAGCGTATGTGGAGACTGAAGTACCAGAAGTCGTGACGATTAATAAACCTAAAAGTAGAAAAGGAAGGCTTATTTGGACCAATGAAAAAGAAATGTCAGAAAGTTTCTTAGATATTCTGGCCAAAAATGCACCAATGTTAACGGTAATATTGTACAGGTTCGCAATTTATGTTCATCTTGCAATCCATGTAGACTGACATTCACGTTACAAGAAAGAACACAGATCTTTGAAAAATATTGGTGAATGGAAATAACATATCCATACACGAATAAAAGTAACAGATGAAGCCGTGGTGATAATCATGTATTTTTTTGGAAACCGTGATCAGAAAAAAAAGGGTGTGCACAAGATTTTTTATATCGACCATTGAAGTTACTAATAGATGTATTCGAACTTTTATTAACCCAGATACTCATAAAACTTTTTATATCAAAATTTTTAATAAATTCTGCTACGAATGGCTTTCTACTTCAAATATATACGAGTTTTACAACTAAAATTTTTCATTCACGTTGGCCGTTTTTGAATTATCAGGTGTATGTTATAACCAACACTAGGAATTCAAGCTACTTAAGGGTCAATGATTTCATTATACAATAAATGAAACTAAGCATAAAAATTAAAGTTATTTTTTATTATGGTAACTAAAGAAACATGATTTAGGGTAAAGTGCAACATCTCACTTATTACATCTGAACGCTGCATGCTTACACCACACATTGTTTGTTTTTCTTGATAAATGACGATATGATCTATCTGTTCTGAGCTATCGTACCTTGACTCAAAATGTGTAAGTTGACTTTTTTTTGAAGGTCTGCGTTTAATTGTTTACTTATACATTTCCAGTAATCCTGACGCTATGCATCTTCTGAATGCTAGGTGATCCATTTTCCCACTATTACTTTTATGCAATTGCCAGGCATTATGCGAAAATAAACTAAAGTACCATTTCTTGCTTCTGATACCTATTCTGTATAAGCTTATGTTTTGGTCTGCACGGTCTACTCCTACCATATTTTCATTATATTTCTTATCATAAATGGCTGTGGGATGAGTATACTTTTCTTTCTGCGAATATCTTTTCACCTGTAGGATTGACAGTGGTTAAGTAGCATTTGATGTAATAGTAACGATATTATTGTCGTTCCATTTATATACTATAATATTTTCGTTTTCTACCAGTGAGTATTCAAATACACCCCTCTGATCTTTTTTGAAAACCTTGGAATTTTTTAGAGGACAACCCGGACCTCTCTATCTGATGGGTTTACCTCGGATAAACTGTTTTGATCCATGATGCCCATAGTAAGGGACCATCGCTTCATCAACACTGTGATGTGCTTTAGATGGACGAAACATATAAAAAATTTTATTGATTATGTCAAATAGCGGAGGCATTTTTGCAAATTTATTGCCTTTTTGTAATTCGGTATTATTAGAAACCTAGAAAAAGTATATTTTGCATAATAATATTGAATCTATCTCGCGATATAGCCGAATACACCCACTTACATCCTACGTCATTGTTGTTTTTCCAGTACATAAACCTTCAAAGAAATGAGAAATATCCACTTAGAAGTAATATCCCAACGAAACACCTAATTTCATTTTGATTGATATCTCCAGAGAGATTGTGTTAAGATGCATACAGATTACTAAAATGTGTAATTAGGTCCACAACTTCATTATCAATGAAAAGGGAAAATAACTGTAAAGGCGTGAGAAAATTTTTTGGTTCACTTACTGGCTTCCAGTAAGAAAAATTGGGATCAATATATTTTTTTAGGACTACTCTCTTTTTTTATTCGGTTTATGTTGTGAAGCACTAACACCAAAGCCAGACACACAAAAATTTCATTCTGCCCTTTATCCTCCAACGGTGCACTATTAAAAACAACTTCAGCTTGTACTCCTAATTGACTACCTGGAAGGTTATTTATGTCAATGTAATTTTCATCCCACGAATCTTCATCGGTATCATATTTATCGGATGGAGGAAAGACAATAATACCATCAGATAATAAAGATGGATCATCAAGGTGTTCAATCTCATCTAATAACTCATTGAGAGTCAATGGTTTCGTACAATAACTAAAAAGTTACAAAATGTTATGACTGAGTAGCATGTTAACCTACCGTATGTTATAACATACAGTCGTTTTTGAGCAATATTTTTCCCAGAAAAGAGAATAAATATTGATAAAAGTAATAACTATAGTAAAATATAATCTAAAACGAAAGTAAATGTTAGAACTTTCTGAAAAAATAATGCCGTAGTATCCTCAAAATACTTACTAAAATTTTCGACACCTTACTTAGCTAAACGTATACAATGATAAGAAAAATACATAAAAATGCATGAAATATAAAGATAATACATGAAAAGTAAATAAAGTAAAAAATTGTCTTTGAAAAAACTCACAACACAGCACTATTAGGGAGGTCGGTGGTGTTGACGGCATCTCCGGCTCCTACAGGTCCATCCTCGATCGGTGTGCCAACTCCTTCGACGGGTTCGTCTTCTTCTTGGTCGTCCAGATCCCATCCGCCATATCCAGGGGTTTCGTAGAGTTCCAGGGTGCCGAAGCCTACGTGGTCGTCCAACCACTTTCTGTAGGGAGGCGATGACTGGGTCTACTTCTGGACTTCCATTGGCGTCAGGGGCTTCTGACTCCGAAGAAGTTTGGCTCGTCAAAGGTGCCTGCACGTCGAAGGCATCCGGTCTGCAGAAGGCCTCGATGTCGGAGTGTTAGAGTATAGCTTTCTAACACTCCGTGGTTCTCCCCATTCTTCTCTTGACTTCAACCCATGTTGAAGTCAATGGTTGTAGCCTTCTGCTGCGAGTCGAGCTGGGTCGTGGGTGCGGATTTTAACCACGTTGTCGGGCGCCATGTCACCTAGGGGTAAATGGAAAGGGTCTAAACGCCTTCTAATGCCTCCGGGTGCTCTGTAGAGGGCTTCGAAAACATCAACGATAGCTTCTCTACTTAAGTCCATTTACAGGTTATGGACTTGTGAAAGTTGTCTTCTGATGGACCCGTCTTGAAAAAGACGGGTTATTTCTTACATGACGAAAATATTCGACGAAATAAACCATCAGGTTGTAGTCTTCGGTGGCTTGCCTTGACAAAGGCAAGATATTTCTTACACGACTAAATAGTCGAAATAAAACACTAAGTTTCAAGTTGAATAAAATCTCAGCCACAGAGTATAGGGTAGACTAAAAGAAAGCAGAGCCCCGAGAGCACTAAGGTCTCGGAGAGCCCGTGAAAGACTGACCTATTTGACCTGAAAATCGCCTTTTTTATACTTTCTGAAGTAGCGATTAGGGATTTCCAGGTCAGGGAGGGGCCAACTGGAAAAATAAGGGGCGGGGCGATGAGTCTCGAACGTGAACTAGTCGCGTCTGAGAACAATACCACCAAGAAATAAAACAAGAAAAGGTTTAGAAAGTATAGATATTATAGAATTAGTAAAGGCTTACACTAGCAGCCTGCCAATAACTGAAATGAAGAAAAAATACCTTACTACCCTTTGAAACGACAAGAGGGTTCCAACAATCCACGTTGATTTCTACCGACATTTAAAGCAGTGTTAGTTATAACTTTTCTAATTATTAATAATATATACTTTTTTTATTTTGTTATTCTTATAGCTGTTAATAAACACATTTTCTCATCTAAGTAGCTTCTAGTGTTCTTTATTGAAACTTTATTTCAGTTGATATTAATAACAAAAAAGCCAGTTTTGTCTTTGCCTTAATTAGTCTTGAACGACAAAATGTTGATGTGCAATAGTGGCACAACTCAAAAAGGGTAAAATTTTTTTTTTTTTCAAAAATCCCAATCCATGTAGTAAAACAAATAAGACAAAATTATTGGCACACAAACTTTAAACTGCTGTTTTGAAAAATTGCCAGTTTTGTGTTGTGCCTCTATAACATACAGCCGACGATAGAAATATCCCATTTATTAAACAAAGTCTTTAATCGCTTCTTCGTTCTTTATTATACATTTTCCTTAAGGGCGTCTATGATCCACTTAATTATATGCCGAACCTAAAAATAGTTGAAGCTTTCCGGGACGTATTATAGCCCATAAACGATGTTTACTCCTTTGAAAATTCGTTAAGGAGTGCGTACGGCAATATAAACCGGTGATTACTTTCAAGCCGTCTCCGTCGCGTCGTTTTTATCTCAAAGCGTAAAGCGAACGGGTATCTACAATTCGGATGTAGGAGCTCAGAGAAAAAAACAAATGATAAGATTCCGCGAATATCAACAGTAATTATGTTTGACTAGATAAGATTGGAGGATTTCTTCATTAAAACTGATTTTTGTGAGAGAGTATGTGGTGTTTAATGTTATTTCGAGTGGGATTTTGTTTCTTATTTTTTATTCAGATAACATTAGTAAGTACACAGATTTTTTTATATTGTACATAAACTGTAAACTTTATAAAAATTTAAAAAATATATTTTATCCCTGGCAATATCGAATTTTTGGGGTGACACGTGATAAAAGGAGCAAATACACTTTCGTCCGCAATATCTTAATGAGTTCAGTTTTACCTTAAATTTTTACCTGAAGAAATAACACTTTCGTCAAGTCAAATATTTTTGCATATACACTTTCGTCCAGGGGTCGAGCTCCGCGGGGATCAATCCCATAATTAAAAAAAAAGTTGTCTTACTGCGTTATAAAATGTATTATCTTAGATTAGTGAAACTTACTTAAAAACTAAAATAATGGGGTATACATTTAACATATTCCAGCCTAGTAATAGTTTTTTCATTAAAATTTTCTATTTTACCTTTCAAAAATTTCTCACGAGCTACAGTTTTGTTATTAGGTCTGTTACATTTATAAATACTTTGAATTCTAATGTAGATCTTATTTTGATACTGATTGATAGCCTCTAAAAACACGAATATATTCGAATGGTATGTATTAAAGGATTTATGTAAATGTGAATGTAAAGTTCACATGCATTGGTTGTTCTCGTAGTTTCTGATGATTTTGCAGCCTAGAGCATAGGTGGAAATGTTGAGTTTTCATCAATATATGTCTCAACTAAATAATCAACAAAAGCATTTAGTTCGACACTCTCGGGCATAATTTCGATCAGATCAAAAACTAAACAATCACCGACTTCGTGATCTAGAAAAAGAAGAGCAAAGCAAGGACCAATCCATTTTCCCAGTTCAGTTCTGTTTTTGTAATCATTTCTTAAGCCAAGTTCTTGAATTTTACGCCACCAAGCCTGTGAAAAATGGAATCTACACCCGATTCGTATAGATTGACCCCAACTGATTTAACAGCCTTATGATTTGATTTTTCAAAATCAATAAAAATATCTTTTGGAAGAAAATTTAAAGTTAGCTCTGAACATTTGGTCTTTATCAAATTGAAACATGTTTCATATGTAGATGATAATATATCTGGCAATAAACAAAATACTAGTGGAATGTAGTGGCCATTGTAGTATCCATGAATTGTAAACATTTGATAATAGAATTTTGGGCAATATTTAAATGTACCATATATTCTAGAACACTTACATAAATGTCTGATATTTGTCTCACAAGATATAATTGACAATTTTGCACTCTTATCATTTACCAATAAAAAAGTTTCATTTCTAGACGTGATGATAAGGTCCTCTAATTTTTCCAATGATTCCAGTACTTCTTCTAACGTTTTTGGTAAAACTGGGAGTAATTTTCTTTTTACATTAAAAATACTTCGTTTCACTGATTTTAAATGCATATTAGTTAAATCGGTATTTTGTTCTTCACTTAAAACTCGATGCAAAACTGGGTTGAGTACTTATATCTTCTGCAACTTTACGCTTACTCTGCTACTCTTACAAACTGCTGTTGAATGCAGTTGGCCTCCAGACTTTCATAAGAATGATTTAAGTTTTATCTAGAAATTACTACATCATCCCCGATTGTTTAGACGGCAGCGTTAAAACCTTTGGTACGACATCTTCAGCGTGATTCCCCACTTTTTAACATTTCGGCAAAATTGAATTTATAGTTATTTACGAATAAAAGAGCCCCTCTTTTCGTTGCACACTTTTTCACCACCAAACGTTTGTCGAAATTCTCCATAACGTTTCAAGGATAAATGATTTTCATAACACAATTTAAAACTATAGCAATATAAACACTTTGAGAATATTTTCACAAATGAATAAACTCGAAGATGCGTACGTACATATTTATATATTTAATATTAATTGCTTCTTCGAAAAGCATTATTTGTAATATCTCTTTAACTACCTTGGCATAAACAGAATTACAGATAATATATTTTTTCAATGGCTGGTTCACTAATTACATAATCCCTTTTCGTAAATATATTACCGAGAACCAAATACTAAGCTTGTCATTAGACCACACAATTTCACAGAAAATCCTAATATCTTTTTTACTATTAATCCAGTTTCAATAAATTTTAATTTTACAAAAAAACCTAAACTAACCTTGTACAATATTTCATAATATTTCATCAAGAAAGTGATTTTTGTTATACTTACAATCAATTGTGATGAAAAAGAAGTCATAATGTTGATAATAAATTACAAAAGCAATAATTTTCAAAATGTTGCGTTTCAAAATTTTAGGGGTTTGGACGAAAATGTGTAAAATCTTTTATGACACTCATTATTTGAACGAAAGTGTAATCGCTGGATAAAAGTGAAGATTTTAGACCCGATAGGTTTTTACGAAACAATATAATAAGTTTTTTTAACACCAATAAGATGTTTAAGAACATTACAATCTGTTCAAACAATATGATCAATCAGCAATTTTTCCTGGCCTAAATTATTACTAAAAACTTAAGACTGACAAACTTATCAATGCCCCTTAGGTTATATTAATGTATTGCACAATAAATATTAACCTGTACGATCACTTGTACTAGACTCTGCTTTTCGTTTAACTAACTCGAAAGGAGTCTTTTATCCAGATCCGTGTTGTTAAGAAGCTGGATTGACGTGTTGAAGAAGTCGTTATTCTTGACTCTTGGGAAATTGGAATGCTATGCTGGAACAACGTGTTAAACGCCAAATCACATTTTGTCGACACATTGAAAAAAAAAACACCTTATAATGATTATTTTGAATATATATATAAATATATATATATAATATATATATTATATATATATATATATATATATATATATATATATAAATATATATATATATATATATATATATATATATATATATATATATGAGCGTAATATGATAGACTATGGGATGCATAACATTAATATCAACAAAAATAACCTTAGGTTATCCAAAACAAGCACTTATGAACATAGATGCTATATTTTAATAAAACAATGTAGTAAATCCCCGTCGGTTGTTGTTGGAAAACCGTTGTTGTGTGGAAGTAAGGCGGTTAATAAAAAACAAAAACAAATTACTTATAAACATGTTTTATATGACATACATATCAAAATAATTTTATTCACTCTGAAGATTTTGATAGTAGCTTACGTACTGTAGTGGATATAAAGGGTGTTTCAAAAAGGTATGTCATAAATTAAATCAAGCATTCCGGGGACAAAAATGAATTGATTAAATCCGACTTATCTTAGTACAAAAATGTACACAAAAAAAGTTACAGCCCTTTAAAGTTACAAAATAAAAATTGTTGCATTATCTCCTAAACTACTTTCAAATTTTGTAATAAAAATGAACACGTTACTTTCTTGTTATAAAAGCATTTTTCATATAAAAGAAATAATATCTAAGTGCACAGAAAAATTTTAGGGGGTATGTGCAGCCCTAAATCCCCCCAAACTTTTGAGTACGTTCAAATCAAATGAATTTTGAGGCATCATTAGTTTCACACATGGACGTATATACATAGATGGACACAGCAATAAGATACCTTTAAGGGCGAGCGCCCACCAAAGTGGCGTGGCAAGTAGCACGTAGCAAGTAGCACGCGTCTAGCATGTTTCTTAAAATGTAACCAATGAAAACAAATGATTAGAATGAATGACGTCACTCTCATTTTGGTGTACGCTGAATCATTCGTTTTCATTGGTTACATTTTAAGAAACATGCTAGACGCGTGCTACTTGCCACTTGCTACGTGCCACGCTACTTTGGTGGGCGCTCTCACTAACACACAATGTTTTGAAGCTTCGATATAATGTGATGCTTCCACAATGAGCATAAGCGTGCTTGAATTATTACTCGCGGGTAATTATTCAGATTTTAAAAATTGGAAGTAGTAATAATGTATAAAAACACGTTCAAAGAATTAAAAAAAAAACGAGAGTTTACCTATTAACAAATCACGTCTTTGTAGAAAAATTAAAATGCAATTTTATTTGCTTTAAAATTAATACAATTAAATATAGTTGAATTCAAGTTAATTTTTTATTAGGTATCAAAATAATGCTAGAATAAAAAATCTTTATATTTTATCCTAAATTTGCTACCCAAATAGTTCGATCGTCAATATTATTTGGAAACCTACATAGAAAAATAAATGAGTTTTATTCATTTTACTAATTTATTTGTATCCATGAGAAATATTAAATTAAAAAGGTACTAAACAGATCTTTTTTAATCAGATGATGTCTACTTACAATTTACAAATGTCTACTAATTTCATGAACTCATATCTTATTCAATACATTAATGAACATGAATAAATCCAATGGTACGCCTATTAAAATGTAAACAAACACGCTTCCTCATTTCCTCATCTTAAATAATGTAAATTGTATGTACTTACAAATGAAATGAGAGATCGGGATGTAAATATTTCGTTTATTTTATTTCACTTTTCACAAATATCACTCAAAATACAGCCAAAATATTGAAAAACAACTTTTCCTCATCTACTGTAAAAAGTAAACAAACATGGAACAGCATTTGAAGTTTGACGTAGATCCATAAGACAGAGAAATGTAAACAACCGTTGCCATTTATAAATAGTTTTCAGTGCTTCTACATATAAAATAGTTGATTGATATCTATTATACGCTATTATTAAATGATAATGCACACTATGTGCACACTTGATATTTTGATTACAATTAAATATATTAATCTAACCGATAAATTATTATTTTGGTTTGATAGCACCTGTAGAGTATAAAATAAGGTGTAATATTTTCAGCGACTCGCGAATAAAAAATTTTAAAATAAAACGTAACAACAGTTGAAGGTGCTGAGAATGTGACCCATTCAAATAATTTTGACTACACAATTTTATGTAAATAACTGAGTCCATCTGTGTTTATACGTCCATGGTTTAACACATTATTTTTAAAACTTTTTTGCCTCTAACGTAATAATTGAAATAAAAATATTTACTTCCACATTTTTACTGGCAACCTATTATCAATGTATTCTTCTAATATTAAATGTATGTATAAACGTGAGTTTGATGAACTACTTTATGAACGTACTGATCCTTCAGTGGGATCTTAGACAATTAGTAAATCGACATTAATACATCGCAACTTTAAAAGTCTTCTTCTTCTTCTCCTTTTTTATAAGCAAAATGCTTGTTCAATGTCGATTAATGCCTCTTTTTAAGGTTATCACTACATCTTTTGCGTGGTCGCCCGATACTTCTTCTACCTCTTGGTGATTTGTCCCTCGCTATTCTGACTAATCGGGTCTCTTCCATTTTGTTTATGTGTTCGTTCCATTCCTTTTTTCTGTTCAGTGTCCACTCATTTATTTCTGGTATATTGCATTTTCTTCTGATCTATTCACTCCTCATTCGATCCCTCAGTGTGTTTCCTGTAATTCTCCTCAGTAAACGCATCTCCGCTGTTTCTAGTAGTTGCTGAGTTTTGGAGGTATCCGGTCTTGTCTCTGAAGTGTATGTCATTATTGGTCTTAATTATTATTTATAACTGGGAATAAGCCACATTAAAGATAAAAATACATTTATTGACGTTTCAATTTCCAATTCGGAAATCGTTTTCAAAATACAAATAGTAAATTAAACAAATTTTGTTTTTTGTTACATAGTGAAAAAATTCTTCTGATAATTTAATTTTATCTGACTCATTTATATTGACAATTCAGACATACATTATGCATTTTAAAGTAGACGACTTTAAAATGATATTGCCAATATTGTTGAGTTGCGCTCCTGGGACGACTTTACTTATAAGATAGTTCATTCGATTACATGAAATCAACTTTAACTTGAGAATATCCGTCAGAAAAAATCATAGCATGTAATTCGTCTTTAAAAAGACAAACACATGACATGATGACAGTAAAATTCTCCTGTTAGTGATTCCATAGTAAATTATGAGGGAAAAACCAGGAAAAAAACCTCATAATACTATCCCGACATTGTAAGTATTTGTTCGTGAATTTAGTTTACCTTCAACAAACATCAAAATTCTGATTTTATGTTACGTTATTTAAAAAACATAAATGATGTATCCTCTATAATATGTTACTGACTTACTAATATAAGTATTAGTAAGTCAGTAACATATTATAGAGGATACATCATTTATGTTTTTTAAATAACGTAACATAAAATCAGAATTTTGATGTTTGTTGAAGGTAAACTAAATTCACGAACAAATACTTACAATGTCGGGATAGTATTATGAGGTTTTTTTCCTGGTTTTTCCCTCATAATTTACTATGGAATCACTAACAGGAGAATTTTACTGTCATCATGTCATGTGTTTGTCTTTTTAAAGACGAATTACATGCTATGATTTTTTCTGACGGATATTCTCAAGTTAAAGTTGATTTCATGTAATCGAATGAACTATCTTATAAGTAAAGTCGTCCCAGGAGCGCAACTCAACAATATTGGCAATATCATTTTAAAGTCGTCTACTTTAAAATGCATAATGTATGTCTGAATTGTCAATATAAATGAGTCAGATAAAATTAAATTATCAGAAGAATTTTTTCACTATGTAACAAAAAACAAAATTTGTTTAATTTACTATTTGTATTTTGAAAACGATTTCCGAATTGGAAATTGAAACGTCAATAAATGTATTTTTATCTTTAATGTGGCTTATTCCCAGTTATAAATAATAATTAATTTACAATGCCACAAGAAAATAGCTTCAGAACAATATTATTGGTCTTATTGTTGCTTTGTAGATTCTTGATTTCACGTCGGTATTAATGTGGGGATTGCGCCATATCGTGTTATTAAGACAACCTGCTATTTTATTAGCCTTTTGTACTTGATTTTTCACTTCCTTCTCCACATCTCCGTAGCTAGACAGTGTAATTCCTAGGTAATTTGTCTCCATTACTTGCTCAATGCTGATACCGTCGATTTCCAGTTTACATCTAATTGGTTCTTTACTGATTACAATTGTTTTAGTTTTCTGTGTAGAGATCACCATATTAAAGTCCTTTGCCCTTGTGTTGAATCTATGGGTTAGTCTTTGTAGATCGTCTTCATTGGATGCAATTAGGGCCGCATCATCTGCATAGAAGAGTATTCTGATTTCTTTGTTCCGCATTTTGTATCCTCTTCCTTTATTAATAGTATTGATGATTTCATCCATGATTAGATTGAATAGCGTTGGACTAAGCGAGTCTCCTTGTCTTATTCCATTGCCCATATCTATTGGATCTGTAAGCTGGTCATCTATTCTGACTTCCATATTGTTGTTCTGGTAAATGTTCTCTATTGTTTTTATAACATCTAGTGGAATTTTTCTATCGTAAAGAAGGTGAATTACATCTTTAAGCTTTACTTTATCGAACTTTCTTCAGGTCTATTAGACATATGAATGCTGGCCTGTTATACTCTAGTGCTTTCTCTAGTAGCACCCTACTGTAGGACTATAAACCAGCTAGCTCAAAGAAACAGGTTAACTTTAAAAGTGTTTTATTAAATGACTGCCATCATTTAATGCTAATGATACCTAGCCTGGTCAAAGTCACTAGAATACCTTATTTTTCTAACTATATAAACAATAAACTTATCATAAATGTGTATCTAAATAACTTTATGAAAGGTAGAAACAATTTATCAATTCTGTCTATTTGTTTTAGGCTCTTCCTGATGAATGTAGTCCTAGGGTAAGTAGAAAACTTTCCGTTATTAATTTTAATGAAAATAAAAACAATATGAACAATCACTTTCTTCTCCCAATCTTCTTTTGTTCTACCCTTCTTGACATTATCTACGTATATTCCATCTTCTCTATCTTTACCTTATAGCTTTCTCTCTTTATCATATAGCCACCAGTCTCCTTCACTCAAAATCTGATTTTTCTCTACTTCGACACCTTCCTTGCTCTTTTTACATTTATTTTTCCATGTCAACATATCTCAAACTCTCTCACGATGTTATACTTTCGTCTTCTTTCCTTCCTCTTTACGTTTTCATTTGTGTCTCTCTTTCTTTCTTTTTGTTATTCCTCTTTCCAATTTTCTTGTAGCCTTGATTTGCGCATTCATTTTTTGCTTCATTTTTGTCTTACTACGGACGAAGATTTTTTCATATTTCTTATAACTGAGTTTTCTACCCCTGCCAGTAGGTTTTTATGTTAATGGAAGTTTCTCTTTAACTTGGCTTGTCTGTTTTAAAATTGAAAAGTGAATGCGATGAGTAAATCTTTTAGGATTCTTGTGTTCGAGATATCCATAAAACGTCGTTTTCCGTTTTTTCATGTTAATAACAATATCTTCCAAGTTTTCAAGTCATGATTATGGTCTCGTTGGAATTCTTCATTTTATTTGACTGGTCCTAAGGTATTCTCAAATTTTTTCCAACCTTTCTTTCAAGTTTTCCTATTGCTCCTTTATTTACCATATTTAAACATTCGGATGCATACTTCTTTATTGAAAAAGTTTTAAGTCTAATGATAAGTTTCTGCATTCATATAGGTTTTTGCATAGATGAGATGCACCTTCTAATTTTGAACATCTACTTTCAATGGCAGCATTCCATCGAGCAAAAAGACAAAAGAGGGAATGTAAAGGTAGTGGGGTCAAAAATATTGTTAGACAGGAAGTGCAATCTTGAGAGGCCACATTAAACAAGGAAAGAGAGTCTTTTCTTGTTTATGAAATCAAATTTAGTTGGGTTATGTTATTGTTTGTCCCAACTGTCACATGAAATCTTATTTATATTGAAGTTTATTAACAATTATGTCACATTTTGACTGTTATCGTTTATATTTATTTAAACATTTAGAAAACTATTTTATAGCTACTGTTAATAAGTGTCGAAAATTTTAAATTTGGCACATTCGCATTTCCGGATATGTCCGCCATCAGAGGCCACTTTTTTGGTCTCCTTTTCATAATGATTAGATTCACTCTTTTGTCTTTTTGTTCGATGTAGCATTCCCTGAACAATCACTTGTAATAAATATACTCTCCGGGGGAAATAAGATATCGGGAACGTGTATCTGGATATAATGTAGGCGATTATTGATTTTTGCGATTGAGTCAATGTTTATGTATGAATGTCTTTATGTTTGTAAAATTCATTCTGCATATTGCTGACACATTTCTATGAGCCTATCTCCATTGTCATTTACATCCTTCTCTCCATACGGTCCGACACGAGGTCATTTATTCCAGATTATGCGTTTTATTAAAGTATCTCAACATAAAAATTTCCTTTCTGCTCCTGATATTATTTAAAAGTTGACTTATTTTTTCATCATAGTCGTCTTTAGCGGCAACTGTGTCATCGGTTGATGGTGCACACAGCTATTCTCACTATTCCAAAACCTTTGAGTTCGATGTTTATTATGCGTTCATTTTCAGCATCCCAGTCTTTGATGCATCTGGCTCTCTTGTTTTTAATGAGTATATAGCTGGCCCTACGTCTCAACCCCCAGGTTGGAGGACCAGGGACTCTTCTGTTAGCCTTACTATACCTAAGCCGATTTGCTCCAGTTTTGGAGACTCGAATTGCCTAGAGGTCATGAATGTAGATGTAGGTGTAGGATTTGTTGGGATGTTCTGTTAAAAGACCACGGCAATATTTGCCATCTCTAAGATCGAAACTTTTATATTTTATAAAAAGTTTAGAAAGTTGATGGCTTCTTCTAACATTTTTTATGTATCTTTTATCGTTTTAGTCACCTGTAAGAAGTTGCTTGCTGAGGGAAAATCCCATAGATATACGGCTGTGGAAATATTGGGCGGGTTATTTCTGTTATAAATATACAAATGAAGCCAGGCTGGACATCAAATATAATACTACTGTTCACAATATATTATGTGACGGTAACATGACAAAGATTCCCGTAGCAGTGGTAAGTTGAGGCATACTAATTTGCCAAATTTTTTCGTTTTGCCCAGTGTCCAACTACACATCTCACAACTTTTGCTTTTTTCGGAAGTAGTTGGTTTTTCTTGTATAATCTCTGTTAGTTATCATTAGCAATTCATAGTTTCATTTCAGGTAGAGGCAAATATAACAGCTAGCTATGATTATAATGATAAAGAAGATGTCCGGTATATTCGACGATCGTTTAAAACTGACGCGAATTTTGATAATTATATTTCTTGTTGCCAAGGAGCCGAAAGGTGTTGCTATGATTACATGGACGAGAAAAATGTTATTCCAAGTAAGTTGCTTTTATTTTCAATTTTCACTTAAACTGTATTTTTTTCGTATCAACTCTAATTATAGTTACAATTCATCTAAATATAATATATTAAGTAATTTTTTCTTTAAACGTCAAATAATGATGACATTAGTTATCTAACTTGATCCTGTCAAACTTTGATGTCTCCGCCGGCAGCAGTTTTTTTCCCATTTCTTTACGGCGGAGGGAAAAATGTTGTCATGGCAACAATATGAAACATGTCACAAAGCAACAATACAAATGTCATTAACAACAATTAAACATCATTTTTATTTAAAGTAATATTAAAAGTACTATTAATAGTCAAAGTCTGGGAAGAAGAACAAATGCCAGAGGAATGGTGCACTGGAATCATATGTCCACTGCACAAAAAGGGAGATTTGTTGGAATGTAAAAATTATAGGGGTATAACTCTTCTGAATACAATGTACAAAATATTCTCCAACACCCTGTACAGCCGTTTAAGTACGTACGTGGAAGAAATCCTTGGTGAGTATCAAAGCGGTTTTAGGCCAGGTAGGTCAACAATTGACCAGATTTTTGTGCTACGTCAAATCTTAGAAAAAACCAATGAATTTAATATTGACATGTTCCATCTCTTTGTGGACTTTAAGTCAGCGTATGATAGCGTCCTAAGAGGTAAATTATACGAAGCCATGAATGAACTTAACATTCCCCATAAATTAATAAGGCTCGTAAAAACAACTATGAGTAAAGTGATCTGCAGAGTGCAAATACAAGGCGATATGTCACAAGCGTTTGAAACATATGCAGGGTTACGGCAGGGAGACGCGCTGGCGTGCCTTCTCTTTAATATAGCGTTAGAAAAGACTATAAGAGATGCCGAGTTACACAATAGGGGAACAATCTTTAATAAATCAACGCAGATTATGGCTTACGCTGACGATCTGGATTTGATCGCACGTACTACACGAGGACTTAAAGAGATGACTTCCACCTTCTTGACAGCCGCACAAAATATGGGCCTTAAAATAAACGAGGAAAAAACCAAAATGTTAGCATCTATTCCAAATAACAGAGATAGAGCTAGAAACGCCGAACAAAACTTCAGTATAGACCAATATAATTTTGATGTAGTAAATAAGTTTACATATTTGGGTTCTCTCATAACAAACGATAATGACACATCTGAAGAAGTTAAACGGAGGGTACTGCTAGCAAACAAATGTTATTTTGGACTAAGCAAGCAGCTAAAAAACAGAAATTTAAGCCAGAAAACCAAACTAATAATATATCGAACACTCATCCTACCAGTGCTGACATATGGGTCAGAAACATGGACCATCTCCAAAACAGACGCAAATCTTCTGCTCGTCTTCGAAAGGAAGATACTAAGAAGAATAATGGGCGCATTCTGTGAGAATGGTATTTGGAGAAGGCGATATAATTTCGAATTGTACGAGAAGTATAAAAAAATAGTAAATGGTAGAGATGTAATATCCTTCATAAAAATAGGTAGGCTTAGATGGGCTGGACATGTGTCAAGAGCAAATGAAAATTACCCACCCAGACGAACTCTATTATCGGTCCCAGTGGGAAATAGGAGTAGAGGCAGACCACGACTGAGATGGAGGGACGGTGTGGACGGGGACGCAAGGAAAATCGGCGCGGCAAATTGGCAACCGTTAGCGATGAACAGAAACGACTGGCGAAATAGACTGGGGAAGGTCAAGGCTCAACTAGAGCTGTAGCACCACTGATGATGATCATGATTAAAAGTACAATTAGTCAATGAGGCATTTTCAAAATTGAAATCGTGCAAAAATGTTTCCGACTGTTGATACGTATTGGTAATTGTTGATGATACTGATGGTCGAGAACAACTTTCAGCAATCATTCCGATGTTGGCGGCTTGCGAACAACAATAAGCAGTCTTTAATAATTGCAAACAACTATCAAACAACTGTAACCAGGGAGACGCAAATCCCACCGACGACTTAATTATTTTAATTTCTAACATCTAGATGACTTTGATAGTTGTCACAGTTAATTTCGAGTAAAAATAGCGTATGAAGTGTACTATTTATGGTTGAAAATTGCTACGTTTGAAGAAAAAATAGTGTACTTTATTCGGCAAAGAAGCGACTTTTCTTGACTTGCCCTCTATTACGCGCCTCACTTCGTTCGGCGCGTAATATCGGGCGCGTCAAGAAAAGTCATGCTTCTCCGCCTCATAAAGTAATATACTATAAATGACTTTAAGAAAAATGAACCTATAATATTTTTCACCTAAAAAAACCGCTTTGTAATTATAAATGCTGGTAACTTTATTACTAGCGGACCAGATAAGCGGCGATATATTTTACACTACCATTATGAATAATATTTTACTGCTCTGATGTTTCAATTAGCACTGCTCAACAAGTTATTGGTTATTGGTTGTAATATTTTATTGCAATAGTACGAGTACGGAATATTTATTTAAACTGTGAATTTATTACATGCTAATTTTTTTAAATTTCTTCTGACGTATCGTATAATGTAGGTTTACCCAAAAATCAAAGTTATGCCTTTACAAGAATATATTATTTGAAAAATAAGGAGTAAATACCATGTGTCATAATAACTGTAATCTTCTTTATACACACTTTAAAAATTTGTTTAGTTGTGTATTTCTTAAATCCACAAAATCATTGAAAAATGATTCATGCTGTTTAAAATTATCTTTCTGTTAACGACACTGTCATCGACAAAGTAGCTCAAATTTAAACGTCATCACATTTCTCTTCTGTTTATCGTTAAAAATTAATTGATGATCGTGGGTTGTATTGGTGTTATTTAATAATTTAACAAAATATATTATAATCAGCAAAAATCTTATTTAAAACATGCAAACAGTTTTTGCAATCACAATCAATGCAGTATTTATGCTTGTTTAGCATTTGCTGTTAAATAATTTGTGTTCGACTGTTTCGTCTGTTGTACAACCCTCGTCCTTTTTAGGGAGTAGTAGTTGTATATAAGTACCTATTTTTATAGTAGTGTAGTGAAGCGGTACTTTAAAGCAAAATGAGTACTTTGAAAGAAAATAAAATACAGTGGAACCGTAGAGTGTTATCTCCAGAAGAACGGCGTTTAGTTCTAAAAGTCGAAAGTTATTTCAATTTGGAAAAAAATAATATGGGTCCATTGACATCTGTTATGACAGTTCAGAAACTCACATGCGATGCCTGCGGTATCGCAGAAAGGACATTCTGAAGGATTAATAACATGAGTGTGGATAAATAAAGATAAATCGACATTCAAAAACTTTAGATTTGTACCAGTCAATTAAACTTGCAATTAAAAATATTATATATAATATGTATAAAGCCAAAGAACATGTAACAGTTAGTGCTGTGTTACAAAAAAGAAAAGACAAGGAACTGCGTGATAATATCACGTTTAACAATTTTGTGGAAAGTGCTTAAACATTTAGGTTTTTTGATATAAAAAGACAAATAATAGACAAGTATTGTGTGAACTCTCTAATGTTGTTTCAAAACGGTGGCATTTTTTAAGAAAATACATGAACAATAAAACATCCGATAGTCCGAGGCAAGTTGTATTTTTAGATCAAACTTGGATTTTCGCTAAAGAAAATATAATCATCCTGGCAAGATGGTGTCTGAAAGAAATAAAATTTATCACAGTGACATATTTTTAAAAGTGGATTAACTTCAAAGGTTTGGAGAGCACAAAATTCAAAAGAGATTTGTTACTGACCAAATGGTTCTTAAATATTGCCATGAAGTTCTTCGACTTCCATCCTACCATTGCCACTATAATGCAATTAAGTTAGTTTGGGGTATAGCCAAAAACTCCTATGATAAACATGCATCCAAAACAACAGATGACGCTAACGTTCTTAGTTTATGGAAAAAATCGCTAGAACAAATAAAGGAAGAACAATGGCAAAATTGTATTAGACATACGGAAGACATAATCGTTCAGTATATTCAAACCGAGCGAGTTATAGATGAGGCCCTGCTTCTAATTATTCGGATTGACAATTCAGATAGTGACGACTCTGATAGTGAAATATCAAACAGTGAATAGGAAAAATCGTTTGCTAAAAAGAAGTAACAAAAAAGTGTTTCGGGAATTCAATTCGGACTTTGTGGTGTGTTTTAGTTAAACGATAAAGTACCTTTATCGTTTAACAAAAAAAAAATATTTTTAAGACAAAACATTACCATAAACGATCATAATTTTGAGGTGGTCAAAGAATTCAAATACCTAGGAGCAACAATTACCAGTGAAAACACAGGAGAACGGGAGGTTGAAATACGAATACTGGCGGGGAATAAATCATTCTTTGCCATTCAACATCTAATGAGGTCAAAGCTTCTCTCAAGGCGTGCCAAAATCCAAATGTACAAAACCATAATACGACCAGCAGTGACATATGGAAGTGAAACATGGACATTGAGAAAGAAAGAAATCAATAAGCTATTAGTATGGGAACGCAAAATCCTGCGAATTATATATGGTCCTTACAGGGACAGCGTGACAACTGAATGGAGGAGCAGATACAACAATCAAATAGAGACTCTCTTCGGGAAAAGAAACATCGTAAGATATATAAAAGTCAATAGGGAAGAAGGGTCAAAGATTGGAGAAGATGGAAGTAAGGCCATGGGAAATAATAGCACAGGATCGGAATCAATGGAAGGCAATAGTAAACGCAGCAAAAACTCACGAAAAGTTGTAAAAGCCAATGATGATGATGATGATAAAATACCTTCAATCTAACTACTGGACTGCATACTCTCAATAGCTTTGGTATTAATTAATGGACTACACGTGTTTAAACCTTTTGTTTTGCTAAAATCTCGGAAGTGATTTAGTGCCTTTTTTTTCAAGGTTATACAGGGTGTTTCAAAAAAAGGTAACCCCGTCTCTAGGGTAGGTAAAAAACTGAAAAATAATTGGGGTTGGCTTAGTAAAAAATTTTTGTAACGCCATCCGTTTTCAAG